GCTTTCGTCACTGTTGAAACTGTTTTGCCTTTGCCCATTTGACCTATTGTTTGATTCCATTGTGTCCATCAATACAATGTTTACCGGACAAGGATGTATGCAGGTATTTGTGGCATATTCAAAACATTTGCGCGTGAAAACAATGGCAGTAGTTCATATGAGCACTTAAGGAAAGGTAGTAGTCCTCAATATTTTTGTTGTGACTTGTGTCGCTTTTCTTCTAAGGTCTTTGATTATTATTAATGTATGTTTTTAAAAATATTCCAGCTAATGGATATGAAAGTATTTGTGGACACGGATTCGGACGTCCGACTGGCTCGCCGGCTGAGAAGAGACATCGCCGAGAGGGGGCGGGAATGCCAGGGCGTGCTCAAGCAGTACATGAAATTTGTGAAGCCGTCCTTCGAGCATTACATCGAACCTTCCATGCGGCTGGCAGACATCATCGTGCCGAAGGGAGGGGAGAATGATGTGGCCATCAACCTCATCGTCCTCCATGTTCACAACCAGCTGCAGGCGGTGAGTCGTCTGATTCTCCTCTGTTTTTTTTTCTTTGCTGATAGAACTTGGAGATGGCTTCATTTATCTCCCTTAATGCTAAAATAGTCTACCTGTGTATAAAGTGACATGGACAAAGCATGCTTAAATATCACAACATTTTTCCTGCTCGCTGATAGAACTTGGAAGCGGCTTTTTTTTCTTGCTTTATTTGTCACCCTAAGTGTCTGTCTACCTGCATAAAGTGACAAAGTTTGCTTCAATATCACAAACAACTGTTTTCTTCTTCTTGTGTTGGCCTAAATGCTAAAAAAAGCCCAAAGTTTATAAATGGGTAAAGTGACAAAGCTCTCTTTGGTATCACATTTTCCCCTCGCTGATAGATTTTGGAAATGGACGTTGTCTTTTTCATGTTTCACTCTAAATGCTAAAAAACAAAGTCACCACCTGTGCATAAAGTGACAAAGCTCGATTCAGTATCACAACATTATTCTTACACTGATAGATCTTGGAAGCGGCCGTTTTCTTCTTCATGTGTTACCCTTAATGCTATTGAAAAAACCTGCACAGTCTACCTGTGTGTATGACAACAAAGCTTACATCCACGTCACAACAGTACAGTCATGGATTCAGCAATCAGGATTTGGAGAGCCTTGTCACACACACTACACTAAAACCAGTCCCACTTGATGTAATTTTGTTCGTTCTTAAGTATTCTAATATTATAATGTTGGTTGTCCCTGATTGGGTTTTGAAAAAGTTAGCAGGCCTGTTATTGTAATGACACTGTCCAAATCATCCAAATATCTTAGTGGGAGGTTGGCAAGCCTCGTGTTTGGTTTGCTCCTTCTTTCATATCAAACATCTACCTTTCTTATCTTTTTTTTTTTTTTCTTTTTTTTTTTTGGTAAAGTGTTTTACTGCCCTCGCAACTGCATAAGATCATATGAGCGTGTGGGACACATAAACATTTTCAGTGGTAGAAAATTTTGAATTTTGCACGGGTGGTGCCGAAGCCTACTCTTACCGATTTTAGACCATCAAGGGATCTTTAACGTTCGCTACTTGCATATGGGACCTCCGAGATTTTTCACCCTTATCTGAGAAGGCTTGGTGTAGATCTTTTCTACCTTAAGATCAGGGGTGTGGCTGAAAGACAGCAGTAAGAAGGAGCCAAGGAGTAGCAGTAGAAAGACCACAGAAAGAGTCAGAAGCTCAAGGGGCAAAGAGGTGACGGGGTGGGGGCAGAAAGTGGAGATGAAAGCAGACGACAGAACTTTGTTAAAGAGCTGGAAAGGTGGTGAAAAGAGACAATTTTAGAGAAGAAAATTCTTCCATTGCTACCCGGATTCGCTCCCGGGACCTTTACAGGGTGTCCAGCAATATTTCCTGAAAAAATTTACTACCTGGAAAGAAAATTTACTACCCAGCAAATCAAACCCCACACCAGCTCGAAAAAGTGAGTTAATTTGCGCCATCAATAACATATACATTATTATTACATAACATATGGAACGAAAAGAACACACAACAAAGTCCAGTCGACAAAATGGAGGATAGACAGACGATTGCAAGCTTGCTCGCAGCTAGATTTAGTTTTAGTAAGGTTTTTACGGCGCTCGCAACTGCATAGGTGATATGAGCGACAAGGGGTGGATGTCAACAGAGAAGTCCAAACAGGGAATCAAGCTTCGACTATCAAGGCACCCCGGAAATAGTAGTTCACAAGCGTGACAAACATACAAAAGAAGTAGAGGAAAATGACGATAGTAAAGAAGAGGACAGAAAAGGCAGCAGTTCCCCCTACGTTGGTCCAGCACAGTATGAGCATGTCATTGATAAATCAGCCCGTTTACAATTCTACTGTGCATAAGAACATGTTAATATCCTCCCTTTGGCAATGGCCTAAAGACGTTTTAGTCAGTAGCACTGCCCTGGTGGAGGTGGGAGGGGGAGGGGGGGGGTAGATTTACACACAGGGTGACTGCCAAACCGGCTTCTCCATTTCCAGGGCCATGTTACACAACAACAACGCACACACACACACACACACACACACACACACACACACGTAATGACTCGAGTAAACCTATTCAGTGTGAGAGGTGTAAGAACTGTGAGAGGGCAAGAGGCAGTGGCACTGAAAATCTGCCAGTCTTGAACAGAAAGCTACAATATTGTTCTAATTTACTATCACCCAACAAATGAAACGCGAACACTTTATTTCAATAACACAGCTTACAAGGTATGAAGGATCCCGATTCCACACAAGGCCTGCACCAACGCGCGCTTTGCAGAGGGCTCTAAATCTAATCAAAATTCTGAAATTTGCTTACACTTACAGTTTTTGTCCTCTGGTGTTGCCTTCATCCTCCCCCCCCCCCCCCCCCGAGTGTCTCTTAAAAAAAATCAATAATCCCTGCCCTACTCCGTAGTCCCATACTTCGCAACACTCGACTTTTTAATGAACTTTGGCGACCCCGATGCCGTACCTTGTAGTGCCTCGCGCGAAGGTTCACTGACCTGTCACGCTGGCGAACCCGACAATCTAAAAATCGGACAAAGCTTGTATTTTCTTTTCATCCCCCCCCCCCCCCCCCACAAGTGACAGCACGGTGAAGAGTCCGAGTAATTATTAATTTTATTTGCACAGCGACAAAGCGGGTATACTGTACAACCTGCATATTACAAATGTTGCGTTATCAGTTTATCTACGCCAAATTTCAGGGAGGTAACGAAAGCGAAAGTAGATCTTGATTTTCCCGATCGAGCCTCGGTGTCACATACACTTCCGCCTGCCGCCATAGCCGGCTTTTTGCGTTAAACGTATTCTCGGACGGGGAAAAGGTGAACGAATAATTATATCACAATCGCGACCGGCAAAAACGGAGTCATGTACCGTGGCTAGGGTTCACTGAAAAGTCTTGCTGGCTCCATCCCTCAGTATGCAGGCTAATTTACGACCGTTTACCAAATTTTTACTACCTTCAAGGCAAACTTACTACCATTTACGACCTTTACGACCAGGGCGCCGAATTTACGACTTTTTTTTTACAACTTTACGACTTTGCTGGACACCCTGCTTTAAGAGGCGATCACCTTAACCTCTAGGCCACAAGAGCCCCCCCCTTCCTTATCTCTCCTCCTTTCTTTTTGTGTTTGTTACTCTTTTGTAACCCTTCTAATTTTCATCACTTATATGACCTTATTGTGTTGCGAATGCAGTAAAATGCTTACAAAATATTTTGAAAAACCTGCCTGTCTAAGACAACAACTTTTCTCCTAAAAAATGAATGGCTGTCTTGGGCAGTCTCAACTGTACTTGTCTCTCAAGCCTTTTACTTTGCTTTCGCTCCCTGTCCAATCCTGCTGAAAGAAAACCCACTGTTTGGCAACTCCAAACTTCACACGGGTGAATGAGTCACATTTCAGTATACTCATTAGTTAGTACAGAGAGACTGGTACTGAAATTCTATTCTTTGACATGTGTCATTGTTTTTTTGTTTTTCACTTTTGGGTGTCAATTTCAATTACAAAAGCCTGTGACTGCTGGATCAGTGACAATATTGATTTTCCATCGAGGTTGTGTTAGGGTAATTGAATTCCAGCAGGAGATTAGTGGCCCACCCATAAAACCTGTACAAAGCAGTTTATTGGTGTTCATGTCGGCCAGATGAGAACAGTGTCACACTGATCTGATTTTTTGTGAACAGATGTACTTAGGCAAGGATCATAATAATATGTAATGTGTTTCAAAATGGGTTTACCAAGAGGTTGTTCTAAAAGAAGTTTTATTTTTAAAAGGGAAACTAAACAAAACTCTTTTGTCAGTTCTGATGGCAACTTCTGAAATGGAAGTTGTTTCGAGAACATTTGTTTTAAGGAATGAACTATCCTGTGTTGTCTTATCTCTCCTCCATCGTTTTTTTTGTTTGTTTCTTTCTTGTAACACCTCTAATCTTCGGTACTTATGACCTAATTGTGTTGCAAAACCCGTTAAACTCTTTTCTAAAACTTAAAAAATGCTGTAAAACTTACTAAATCTTATTTTTTTAAAAATCAACTTATCTTATTTGTCTGTTTTCCCCAGAGAGGGTTTAAACTGAGGGGTCAGCTGGCCCAGTCATCACACAATGGTCAGCCAATGCCCGGAACTCTTCACATTCTAGAAAAAACTCCACAGGTCCACGGAATTCATTCCTTCATCAGGTAAAGGTGTTTTGTTCTTATTAAACTGTTTTGCTGGTTTCAGAATTTCATTCCTCCATTGGGGAAAGTTGTTTTGTTTACTGGTTTAGGATTTTCAGCACTGCCTGGAAAGGTTTGGCAAAGAATTATGCAGTGATATAAGTTATATAATTTTTTGGTTCTCACCTGACTAGATAACTGTATAAAAGTAGCTATGACATTGATATTATACCTCTGTTGTTTGTATCTGTCTATCTAGCAATTTCTGTGCACTAATAGACAGTTGTTGAATAAGCTTCTCTGGATGCAAACGAAGGACATGAGAAACTATCTAAGTATTCTTTTAAAAAGTTCGAGGACATGTTTATGCAATGCTATCCTGTGCCATTCGTTTTTTATGTGTGAAAATGAAATGTTTGGGTCTGGGAGTTGCGTGTGTGTGTATGGATCTTACATTCGGGCATAGTTTGCCTGTGCCTGATCTGTATCTTGTTTTTTCCTTTACAGGGACAAAGACATTGGCAGGGACGAGTTCATCTTCTACTCCAAACGCTTGATGCGACTTCTCTTTGAGTTCGCTTTGTCAATGCTGCCTTTCAAGGTTACTGCCTTTTTCGCATTTTGAATTTATCCTTCAGTCTCTTGATTTGTTAGTTGTATTGAATGATAATTCTGCATTGTGCAGCACTTAAAGCCTTATAGAGATTTGAAGCTGTATCTCAACTTGGGGTCCATAAACTTGATTTGTTTGGAGACACATTACCAGGTCATTTTGTGGGGGTCTGGTTGTCAACATCTCATCCACAAAAAATGTAGTTTCAGTCATGGAGTTTACTTGGTTGTTGTGATTCTTTCATACTTTGCTGATTTGTGTTTGACAGACCAAAATTAAATCAATTATAGGACTTGAACAGTAGGGTGAAAGGAAAAGACTGTGATATGGGTTGTTTAGGGTTTTTTTTTGGCATCAAAGCTGAAAAATGAGTTGCAAACAATGATCGCTGATGTCTGTTTTGTATTTGACACTTGAAGAAGAAGATCCGTGTACTACAAATAACGTTCTTATTGTTTCTTCTTTCTCTTTAGGATGTACTTATAGAAACTGCTCAAGGAGTTCCTTATAGTGGGAAACGTATTGCTGCTGACAAGGTATTATGCAATGTTGTGGACTTTTTTTCCAAAGACAAGTAAATCGTAATTAAAAATATTTTTTTTGAGATCTGCACTGCTTCTTTTTTCACTTGTTTAAAAAAAATTGAAATGGGTCTGTGATGCATTTTGTGAAGTAATTTTGATGACCCATTGCAAAGCAGAGTGTTTCTTATGTCAAAAAGTTGCTAAATTCTCGTGTGTTGTGATTGTATGCCTTCCATTCTCTAGATGCTTTGTGAAAGTTTTGAAAAATATCCCTTCTATTATTCATGAAGACATTTCAGAAACTAGATTTTGCTTTTTAAGAATGTTTTGTGAAGCAGAAAGTGAATGGTTTTGTTTCTAGATAATTAAAAGGAGGATTATGTACTTACATTCTGCTTTCCTTCTGGCAAAGAATGTTGGGTTGTTTTGTTGTATTTTTTCCCCCACCAGCCTTCAGTTGCTAAGGCTGCAACAGGACATATTTCCTGACCTGAAAACTGCTGTTGCTATATGGGAGCAGCATCTGATAAAATGTTTCAGACACAATAATGGAGCATCTACTGTTCAGTCTTTCTTTCATTGAAAATTTAATTAAAATTTTTATTTGTTGTTTTAAAAAAAATTGATTTCTTGGAAAGAAAGGGAGGTGGGAGGGGATGGTATACTCTGTATTTCGGAATAACCTTTAGTGTTATGAAAGCTGTCAATATCATTTTTAAGTTCTGTTTTTTTTGTGGTGAAAATGAATGAGTGGGTGGTTGGAGGGCACCACTGGTAGGTCCTACTTCTTTTCTTTCCCTCTATTGTTTCTGTTTGTTTGTCTTACTTTTTCAAATCACTAAATGACCAACCCCCCGGGGCAGTGCCACTGACTGTAGGTAGTGTCTTTAAGCCATTCCCAGGGGGGGGGGGACATTTCTCCTTCAAGCTTAGTAGAATTGTAAATGGGCTGACTCACGTCTCGCTCATAACTGTGCCTGATCTACATCAGGGAACTGCTGCTTTGTCTTTCGTGATCCTTACTATTGTCATTTCCCTCTACTTCTTTTGTATGTTTGTCACTCTCTTGTGACCTGCTATTTCCGGGGTGCCTTGATAGTCGAAGCAGACTTTGTGCTGTTGAAGCTAGAGAGGTGAGCAGTCTAAGTCTGATTCCCTGTAAAGACTTCTCTGTTGACACTCACCCCTTGGCGCTCATATGACCTTATGCAGTTGCGAGCGCCGTAAAACCCTCTACTATTAAAAAAACAAACTAAATGACCATTATTGTGTGGATGTGCAACTCTGTGCACAAACAAACAAAGCAAATTAATTTAAAAAATTGTTTTCAGCTCATCTTTTTTTCTCTCTCCTCTGTTCAGATTGCTGGTGTGTCAATCCTGAGAGCCGGAGAGACGATGGAGCAGGCCCTGTGTGAGGTGTGCAAGGACGTGACCATCGGAAAAATCCTCATCCAAACCAATCTAGACACCGGGGAACCTGAGGTAAAAACCGTCATGGTGCCGAGAAGGAAAGATGAGTACAGAGCTCCTTGAATACTTTCCCCTCCTACAGTAGTGTTGCTAGAGGTATTTCCTACAACAGATTTGTGTTCCCTTACAACGCAGCATTTCACTTTTTTTTAAAAACTGACTGACTGCCGTAGAAATTAATTGTTTTTCATTTAGAGGCTGGACGATGTTTTAGTTCAACTTAAAATCAAGAAACACAGTGCCAGATTTAAAAAATAACCTTTGTAGCTCACCTCACCAAAAGAGCCACAAAAGCTACACTCTTGAATCACAGGACGCAACTACCAAATTAAACGTGCATGAAAAAGCCTTCCCTTCCCCCAACTGCTGAGATCGCTTGTGGGTCAGTAAATAGTGTAAAAACAGTGAAGAAATCGAAACCGACAGGAGTGCAGGTTTATCGTGTCTCCTGTGTCGAAGCCTACCATCGCAGTTTCGGTAACCGCAGTCAGTTAGTCAAAAAGGCCAGGGAATTGAATAGAGAATGTAGATAAAAAGGCAGATAAGATTTGGGAAAGGGACTTTTATCAGCTGATTCTGTTTGAGGTGTAGGTGTGGATTGATGCTTAGGTCTTTATTTGTAGTTCCGGCTTCTCTTTGTACTTCCCTTGTACAGTATCACATCTTTAATGAACACGTATATGTGTGTTCTGTAATTAATGGTGAGACAGTCTGACACGAGGAAGCGTGTGTTTCGTGTGGAAAGTGTTGATTCTCATTTTGTCAAATGGCTCTCAAACAAGTTTTTAGCTCAAATCGTGGAGTAAAATATTGAAATGTTAGTAAATATTTTGCTTGCTCTTTTAATTGGCATCTGTGGTATAACGATTAGGTTCTTTCCGCACAGAAGGCTTGACTTCAGTTCCTGAGCGGGGCAGTTTTCAATTATGTTAGTCTGCTGGGATATTGTATCCTTCTCTTCCTGGGTAGCCCTGACTCTTAAATCATCTAAATTGTTTCTGTGCTATGTAAGAATAGTAAGATATTCACATACATTTATTCAATCTTTACTAGCATCTGTGATGTAGTGGTTGGGTGTTTTGCCTCATGCAAGAGACCTGAGTACGATTCCGCAGTGGGGAGAATTTCTGTTTAGTAACTCGGTCTTTCTGCTGGGATGTTGTATCCCCTCTCACCCGGGGTTTAGCCTAGCTGGCAGGGTTTACAGCCCACCTCCTAAAAACTTCTACGTAAAAAAAAAAGTTCCTCAATATTTTTATTTAAAAAATTTAATGTATACGTTTTCCCCCCCTTCTGTGACCAGCTCCACTACACGCGGCTGCCCAAAGACATCAAGGACCAGTACATCTTCCTGCTGGACGCGACAGTCGCGACCGGTGCGGCGGCCATGATGGCCATCCGCGTCCTGTTGGACCACGACGTTCCGGAGGACAAAATCTTGTTGTGTTCACTGCTCATGGCTCAGTCAGGTACAAACTTGGTTTCTTTTTTAATTGGATTTTTTAAAAATAGAAAAACATGCACACATTGTAGATGTATGAATTATTGGTTTATTTACAATGTTACTATGTGTGTGCTTTGCAGTTAAGTACAACGAGAGATCAGATCTTCAGTTGACTGATACACATCTTTCTCATATCGTGTATCTCACAGGTGTCAATTCTGTTGCCTATGCATTCCCAAAAGTGAAAATTGTGACGACTGCTGTTGACAAAGAAGTGAATGAAGCCTTCCACATCCTGCCCGGCATTGGTGAGCTTCTTTTTCTTCCTCGTTCTCTTTTTTCTTCTTCATCTTCCTCGTTCTCTTTCTTCTTCTTCTTCTTCTTCCTCATTCTTATTGGTGAGCGATTTTTGCCTTTTTTCTTCTTCTTTATTCCCCTCCTTTTGGGGGGGGGGGTAATAATAATTTTTTTTTGGGGGGGGGGGGTTGTAAGAGGCTTAGCAGTATCTAAATGAAGAACAAGTTCAGTTAAAAATGAATACTTTTGTCAACTCAACCTTTGAAATGCTTGTAGGCGTGACGAGTATGTCAAGTTGACGTACCTGGCTGTTCTGTGACACAGAAATGATCTCCTTTTATTGACAAAATTTCATTGAATGACTCAGAACTAATGATTTTGTTGAGAGAATATGTATTGAATGTTGGAGAAATTATCATTTTAGTTTTTAGTTTTAGTAGAGGTTTTACGGCACTCGCAACTGCATAAGGTCATATGAGCGCCTGAAGATTAGAGGTGTTACAAGAGAGTAACAAACATAAAAAAGAAGAAGGGGAGATAAGGATGATAAATGTTTGATAGGAAAGAAGAAGCAAACCACACCAGAGCACCCGCCAACCACCCACATTATCATTTTACAGACAGAATTATAATGAATGGCTTAGAAATTATTTTATTGGTAGAATTTGTAATGAATAGTGCATACTTAATCATTTTGTTAGTACCTTACTATTTTGTTTTAAGACAGAAAGCTGGACTTGATGAAAAGGACTTTACAAATTTTAGACCAGTTTCAAATCTCTCATTCTTATCCAAAATTTCGGAAAAAGTTGTTACTAACCGACTCTTACAGCATATTAAAGCAAATAATCTTAGCGAAGTTCATCAGTCAGCATACAAGGCACCCCATAGTACCGAGACAGTGTTACTTCAGGTCTATACGAATATTTTAAAAGATATTGATGAAAGAAAGATGTGTCGTCTTACTCTTTTTGACCTTTCAGCTGCATTCGATGCCATTGATCATGACATTTCACTTGAGAGATTAAATACTACTTTTGGTGTCAAGGGTACTGTCCTGCGGTGGTTTGAGTCATATCTTAAAGCAGTTGTGGTGGGAAGTACATGTTCTGATAATGTTCAACATAGATTTGGTGTTCCTCAGGGGTCTGTTCTTGGACCTGTCTTGTGTACAATGTTTACACAACCTATTGCAGATAGATTTATAAATCCATTGTTTTCGATCAAATATCACTTTTAGTCGATTCCACTGTGTGATATCTTCGGGAACTAAAAATATGGATGGTCTGTAATAAATTGAAACATGGGGGAGGGGGGGGGGGTGCACCCCTAAAGTCCTGATTCGGCTCAAAATTATGGAATTTGAGTTGTAGGCATTTTTAGCTTCTTCAGGCTCTCCTACAACTATTCCATCGCATAGGAACCCCTAAAAGCCTTATTTCTCCCCATACGGGCATGTTTGTCAACACCATTTTTTCATGAAGTCTATATTTAACTTTTTCTTTATCGGCCGTTTTCTCAAACACGACTTTTCTCTATACTTTTTTGAATAACTTCACCATTTTTCATCCAATCTTCATGAAATTTTCACAGAATGAAGAGAAGATGTAGTACTAAGAATCTGTTTGTTGAATTTTTGATACATCAAATAGATTTTTGTTGGTGGGGTCCGGAGTGTGGATTTTTACGGATTTTTCGCAAACTTGAATACTACCTCAGGAAAAAATTCAATAAAAATGTTCTAATTCGTGAAGGAAAAAAACAACAGAAAAGTTTAAATGTAGATCTAATATTTGCTAACCTGCATGCAAAAAAACAGTCCATTTCCATGAAAAATAAGTGCGGTATTCATTATGTAAGACATGTCAACAAAATCCAATATGGCTGCTGTATCCATGGAAACGAAACCTGATCCTCAATTTTGATTACGGATTTTAAGACTCCTTACTATACGGCAGCTATGTTGGATTTTGTTGACATGTCTTATGTAATGAATATAGCATTACTGTTCATGGAAAATGATTGGTTTTTTTTACATGCATATTAGCAAACATTAGACCTGGAAATTTGTCTGTTGATTTTTTCTTAAAGGAATTAGAACATTTTTAATGAATTTTTTCCTGAGGTAGTAATATGCCAAGAATCCATGAAAATCCACTCTCCAGACACCACCCAAAAAAATCTATTCCATATATGGAAAATTCAACAGACAAATATTTAGTATTACATCTTTTCTTCTTTATGTGAAAATTTCATGAAAATTGGGTAAAAAATAGTGGAGTTATTTTTAAAAAGTATAGAGAAAAATCTCGTTTTGAGAAAACAGCTGATAAAGGAAAACAAAATATTGACTTTATGAGGGAATGGTGGTGACAAACATGTCCGCTATGGGAAGAAATAAGGCTTTTGGGGAGTTCTTATGCGGTGAAATAGTTGTAGGAGAGGCTGAGGAAGCTAAAAATGCCTACAACTTAAATTCCATAATCTTGAGCCGAATTGGGACTTTGTGGTGTACCCCACCCCCCATAATGATGACAAGACGCAAATGATGTTGAGGGGAAATACAAAAGTCATTAGAAATCTCCGAGAACTACAAATTGATATCAACAACCATACTACGCTCTCTTCTTATGTTACTTTTTACTCTGGGGGGTGAGCCTAACTATAAAGGTTTTTTTAATAAGTTTTGTCTTGCATGCTTTTTAAAATCCGTGATTGCTGAAACCAAACATGGTTTTGGCAGTTGATGTTCTTCCTGCCTCTCCTCAGGCCCAGATCAGGATTCATTTGGTATTTTTAGGGCAAAACTAGTTAAAATTGTGTGTCATACTTAAGTCACAAGCGACTTTTCAGTGTCCTATGCTAGTGTCGGAAAAAATGTTTTACTATAGTTTCTATTGGTATGGGCCAGGGGTTTTGAAATCTGTTTGGCTGTCGCCCTGCACTCAATTCCAGATTCAATACTGAATTATAGGTGCCTTGAATGAATGCTTTAAAAAACTCCACAAAAACCTCGCCTCATTTCATACACTCTGTTCATTTTAACTTGTGCACACCCAAACGTCCCTTTCCCCTACCCACATATATAGACACACGCGAGAGCATGCGTGCACACACACACACACACACACACACACACACACACACACACACACACACACACACGTACACATACACATACACACACACACAGCTGGTTGTAACGGAGTACAAGTACTCCGGTACTTGTACTTACGTTACAATTTTCGGTACTTTTACTGTACTCTGGTACATTCTGAGAAACGGTACTTTTACTGTACTCCGATACTTTTTATGAAAGTACTTTTGAGTATTTTTAAAGTACATTTTGAGTACTTTTGAAGCTTAATGAAAGAATAAGTGCCGGCATTTCTGATCATAATTTATGGAACAAACGCCCCGACGAGCACAGCCGATCAACCAAGAGTTAAAAGTTGAGATTAAAGAACTGCCGTCGCGTCAAAGATCAGCCACTCTCGTGAATGTGATCACAAGCGTTGTAAAACTCCATGAAACGGTACAATGATCCCCAGACGGGATCACACCGAGGTGTGAACTGACCGATGCGTTTCTTTCCCCAAACATTGCCCTCGTATCTGAGCTCGCCACCTGAACTTTCATCTCTCGCTGGGTGGGTAGGGCCTACAAGTTCGCTCCAGGCAGGATCACATCGAACTGTGAACTTTTCCCTGACCATTGAAGTTGAAGGCAGTTTTTCTCTATTCCTGATTTTGCGAGACAGCCTGAATTTTAATTGGTGTGGTCACAGGACAGCGTAATGGTACATAACGACCAAGGCGGGGTACTCAATCAGAAGGCTACAATTTTTGGACAGGTAAAGGGGAGGGGCAACTGGATAAACGTAGATAAAGATCTCGAGACTATATGCTAATGAGTGTACAGTATGATATTATGGCATGCCTTATGCCACCATGCTACTGTGATTGGTCATCAACTTTCATCAAGGTTGACCACTCTTTGCTCGCCATATGTCATAAACCTACCCAGGGGTCACATCAGTTCATGGGTCACTGTAGATTCTTCCTTGGCTTCGTCGGCTAAGATCCCGTATTTCCCTTGCTCCCGAGCACTGGGATCTTAGGCGGAGACTACTGTAGTAGAGAATTGTTGGTTACACTACACTCACTAGACTCTTGGAGGGGGCTCTCGTGGCCTAGAGGTTAAGGTGTTGGCCTCTCATTCAACAGGTCCCGGGTTCGAATCCGTGTAGCGACCAAAAAATTTTCTTCTCTAAATTTGTCTCCTTTCACCTCATTTCCTGCTTTCTAGCAATGTTCTGTCATCTGCGTTTGTCTCCTCTTTCTGCCCCCACCCCCTCACCTCCTTTGCCCCCTCCTCTGGGCTCCTGATTCTTTCTGCAGCCTTTCTACTGCTTCTCCTTCGCTTCTTCTGACTGCTGTCTTTCTGCCACACCCCTGATCTTCGGGTAGGAAACATCTACACCTAGCCTTCTTGGACCAGGGCGAAAAATCTCGGAGGGCCCGTGTGCAAGTTGCGCGCGTTAAAGATCCCTTGGTGGTTTAAAATCGATAAGAGTAGGCTTCGGCCGCCACCCGGGCAAAATTCAAAATTTCCTACCAATTGAAAATATTAGGTGTGTCCCACATGCTCATATGGCCTTATGCAGTTGCAAGCGCCGTAAATCACTTTACAAAAACAAACAAAGACTCTAGGAAATTACATGTAGGCCTATAATTTTGGTTTGCCGTGGGCGCCGTGGACTACATGGTGTGACCAAAACCTGTCTTACCACTATTATAATCAATTGAAACTGAAACTGAGTCTGTTTGCTGGGTTTTTTTTCAATTTCACGGACCATTTCCACCTACGTTCAGTTCGTATATTATTCAAATGATTTGTATACTGTTTACATTATTAGTAATAAATGGCCTAATTTGTCAAATATACTAGATATGTTATTCAATATGATGTTTTGCATTAGCACTGAAGTGTTTAAGCATATTAGCAGAAAGTACTCAAAATGTACTCATAAGTACTTTTTAAAAAAGTTCTTGTACTCAAGTACATTTTACAGGAAAGTACTTTTACAGTACTTAAGTACATATTTTAGATTAAACTTAAATTTGTACTTAAGTACCTTTTTAAAAGTACTTTAACAGCTCTGCACACACACACACACACACACACACACACACACACACACACACACACACACATACACACACACACACACACGTGCATGTACAAACAAGTTTTCAAAATACAATTACCCAATAATGAAACAAAAGAAATCAGCGCACGAAACACCAATTCTGAAACAAACTACATTGGCTGCCAATAAAAGAAAGGATCAAATACAAAACTGCCGTTTTCTGCTTTAAATGATACTGCTCCTTTTTATCTTAAAAAATTCCTGGAATTATATCATCCGCCCAGAACCCTTAGATCAGCCTCTGACAATCTAATTCTTAAACTCCTAAATAAAATGACAAAACATACGGCGAAAGTTCCTTTTTGTTCTTTGGTCCCCGGGTATGGAACGGATTCACAAATGAAATAAGATGTGCCCCAACAATGTACAAATTTTCAAAAAACAGCTGAAGCTTTTCTTATTCACAAATGCGTACCTGTCATAATGATGAACAGTTATATATATGCATGTGTACGCCAGACTGTGAGACCGAAGAAATAGCGTGCGAGAATGAGAAAAAGAGTTGGGGGGGGGGGGAACGGAAATGTCTTTCTATAATTTAGAGAACGAGTGTTTTAATGAATATTTCTAGTTATTCAAGTTTCAATTGTATTGTGACCGTTTGTGAATTTTTATTGCATTGTATATTTTTAGTGAACGCATTGCCAAGCTCATTGCGAGACTGTTTTTCTCATAGATTGTTTTTATACATATATATACATAATACTGTGTTTTACGTACACACATGTCGATTAATTTGTAAGATGTGATATCTTTTTTATGTAATGCGCGTTGAGCATTTTTTAGAAAATGAAAATGCCCGGCATAACTGCTATTTATTATTATTATTTTAGTGACAGAACTTGTATTGGATATGAATTACACAAACTCATTTTGTTGACAAAATTTGCATATAAAGTACTTTTATTTTCTATCTCTCAGGTAATTTTGGTGATCGCTACTTTGGAACGGACTATGCTGACTGACGAGGAAGAAGCGAGAGGCAAAAAGCAGCTTGAACAACTTGGCTGGTTTCTGGGGTCACAAGGAGGCCAGGAAATGCCTTCAACAATTCATGTTATAATGGTACAGCCTTCACTGTTGGGAAAAAAAACTTTCTTGTTGCTAGCATGAATTCTATTCTCCATGGTTATTCCTATTTGTATGTATGGTAAGCCGTTGCTGCCATTTATGCTGGTTTTTCTATCTTGCAAATCAGGGAATGACAACAGTGGTTTCTGAGGCTGATGTTTAGTGGGTGGGGATGAAACCACATTCGTCTACAAAGAGATTTGATTGATGCCTCTGTCTGTGGCAAAGTTCAATGGGGGAAACATCAAATTTTTGTGCAATTTTAATTTTAGATTTGATATTCTCCGAAATTGGGGAGGGGAGGGGGGGGGGGGACCTTGATGGGTTTTTTTTCTGTTTTGGTATTCAGTCGGGAATGGTTCTCCTGCAGATTAACATTGTATTCAGAAATGGAATAGAAGTTATAATGTTACCTGAGGGGAGCAAATGATATGACCGCTCTACATAACATCAGGGCTCTTTGATCCTAAGGTGTTTCCATGAGTGGTATCTTAATCTGTGTGTTTGTGCAATACATTGATTTCTTGTTCGTCGATTCTGTGGTGAGAAATGAGAATGTTGCTGAGACATTACCTCACTATTTCATGTATGATTATTGGCCATCCAAAATTAATGGCAGCAAACTTACGTTGCCTTTACCTGTGGTGGTTTCAATTTGAATTCCTTTAGTTAAAATATTTGATAAACCGGACCGCAATGTGAGTCATCAGTCGCATAGCTGCCATCCTGAATGTGGGAAACGTAATTAATACCCTTTCGAGGTCTGAGTACAGATGTCCCATTTTCGTGTCAGGGAAAATATGTGCACTGTTTTCTAGTATTTCTCCTCTCAGGCTTGTTGATGCTGAAGAATAAATATCAAAAGTGAAGAACGGATTTGTGAATAATAAGTGAGAACGAAACCACTAGGTCAATTTTTAGAGTTGTGTCTGTTACCATAGCTAGCTATTGAGCATGAATTTATTGAATTCTGGAAAATGTATGGGAAGGGTTTAGAGAGCTTTTTTGGCCAGTGTCCACAATGTTATTGGTACAGAGTCTGTTTTTTTTCGGTTTGGGAAATTTGGCAGCTATGCAGTCATCTAGGGGAGGAGAGGTCCTCTCGCAGCTGGGGGGGGGGGGAGATTGGCTGATTTATTACTCAAGTAGTTTTCTTAGATGCATTTTTAATTTCTTAAAAGAGGGGTAATCCAAAGGGAGGTTGTTGTGTCGGATTTTTTACATTAGTAGTGTGTACGAGGCGATGGGATGGTGAACGAAGCAGCTGAAGAGTCAGAACGGATGCCCATTGGTCTTATGATTTAGCAGATTGGATCTGGTCAAGTCATATATCGCAGGCCAGTGCAGACTATTACAAACCTTTGTTTCATTAAGTTTGACCTGAAAGTCCATAAGGGCTAATTGCATTCCATGCACTAACAAAAGATCTCGCTTTGCAATGCATTGAAGCTTCCCAATTGGCTGTTTTCAGCAAACTTGATCCTACCCAATTGTGACTATTACTGTTAAATCTTGAACTGGGGAGATAAGATTAAATGTGTCAAAATTGTAGCTTTTTGCCCCTTCATAGAGGAAAATCTGGCGCCCCCCCCCCCCCCTCAAATGTACAGTATCCAAACCTATCAATTTGGGATTTGATGGAACTTTCTGCACCGTGCTCGTGGTATTGTTGGACATTTATGTTGCTATGTTGCCTCGCTGTTACACTATGGTTCCCTTTGTTGTTGGTAAGAACTGCTACTTCTGTCTGTAATGTCTCTTATCGCATGCCTCTCCCAGACTACATTATAATATTCCTACAGATGGTAAGGGGAAAAAGTCACTGGGCAGTTTGCTTGAAAAAATTTAGAGCAAGGGGGTGGGGAACAACAACAGCTTGATGAGGAGTCCCAGGCCACGTGTCGACCAAAGCAGATACAACCAGATTTTTGTTGGGAGGAGGCAAACGTTGGTCTGTTCGCTTTTGGCATGCGTAAATAGGTAAAAAATTAATGCGAGGTGGGAATAAGAGAGCATGAATTTTAAACAAAAGTTTAGTTTTTGAAAGACTTTTATAGTGCATGCGATTGCATTAGGTCATATTATGAGCGTTTTAAAAAATTAATTCAATTGCTAATATAACGCATTCAAAATGATGTTTTGTATTTTTAACACACAGGCCTTGCTAAATTTGAGGCACTGATTGCCAATATGACAGACGATTTTTCATTGGAACTTAAAAATTACAATGTTTGTATAAGTCTGGCTGGGCCTGTGGTCGGTAAGTCAATGCATGAACTGACTAAAATGGGGCACATGGCATTCCCTTCAACTCGTCTTTTATCGGGAGTCGTATTGTTTTGAGGGAATTTTGATCAGTTGGTTTCTGGTTAGATGGACACGATGGCTAATGAGGTTTGCTCCTTTTTTTCCATCAAACATTTGTCCTTATCTCTCCCCCTCCTTTTATTTCATTTATTTCTCTCTTGTAATACCTGAAATCTTCGGCACTTATATGACCTAATTGTGTCTCTAGTGTCGTAAGACTTTCTCTGAAACAAAGCTTGAAGTGGATGGTCGAAGGATGCTGTGTTGCTCTTTATCCACAAATGGCTTATTGTGTTGACATGCTTCTCTTTACCCAAACCGAATCACACCAAAATCTGTTCCTATCAAAATTCAGTGTCACTCGGTGCGTAGACAGAGCCAAACTTTTTACATTATTAACCTGCGACTGCTTAAAAAAATGTTCTATTCAGAATCATACTTCATGTACTTGTATTGAGAATGAATCTCTTGTCTTGATTTTACACACGACTTTCTCTCACAAATTTTTTTTGGATCTTGTTGAAATGCTTACTATGAAATATTGAATGAAGTGCTTAATCATGTTGAGGGGTCTTTGGGAATTAAAAAAAATTTATTGGTGAAGTGGCAATATTATCTGGTAACTTTCTTACTTTGATTGAAATCAGTTTACAGTTCCTTTTTTTCTGCTTTTCTTTTATGTTTGAGAAAAGATGAGGTCCCGCCTTTTTAATAACCTAATAATGTTGATGGAAGCTTTTATAAACCCACACACTTACTTAGTTTTACTTGATCTTCCTAGAATATATGAGCGTGCCTGGTGAAAGGTACCAAAAGATGCATTTGTTTGAACCGAGATATCAGGCTTCAAAGGTCAAAAATAGAATTTTTGACAAAACTAAGTTCCATTAAAAATGGATTCTTTTGCCATTATAATATCGATATTTTTGGGGACCTGTTTTTTTTTCTTTTTTACTTTAAAATACGTTTTTAAAGATGTTTTTTAGCATGAGGTATATTGCATAATAAAAAAAAAATGCATGAGAAAATTGGTTTTCCGAGTAAACACTGCAGGTGGCATCTCTTATCCGTTCATAAAATCGACCCAATCACAATGTATACCAAAATTTGGGTCATTCTCTTCCCTCTCTAATGGCGGGTAGTGCGCATGAATATCTAGAACATGTAAACAAAGCGAAGCTTTGCACATTCACACCCTTTCGCTGTTTTTGGAGAGCTAACTTGTAATTATTTTATCTCCTATTTCTGCTCTGCGCAAATCTGGATCTAATTTCTTAAAAATTATTGTTCAAGGTCGTGTTGAATTTGTTTTGAAGACATAAAATGAACACTTTGAAGCTGTTTTTTTATCTTTGCTGCTTTTTAAAGTTTGTTTGTGCGTTACAAATGTGTTGTCTGGTCGTGTCGAAGCGTAGATCTATCTGTTTGAAGCAGAAACAAAGAAAAAACAGGATTCTTCAAAATGCGTCATTTGGCACCTTTCACTAGGCACACATATTTTCTGTTCTCTGTGATGGCGTGACAGGGGAACGCTATGATACTAGACTGCTGAATTGCTGAATGAATGAAAAATTTAGAATTGATGGGTGTTCTTGGGCCTAGGTTATTGAAGAATGATCATAGTTCTTCACTCGTTTGGCTCAGTTTAGTTGGATTTGGGCATTAAATCTGAGCGTCCCTTTTTTATAGTAATCTTCCACAATCAAAAGGAGCATTATGTCTTATACTATAAGTTATACCAGTTGTCTGTAATTCCTACTTCTTGTTCGCATGTGGATGTGTAATGTGCCAAAGATTTTCTTGTCACTCTGAAGGATAATTATATTTGTTTTTAGCAGTTTCTCTTTCAACTTCCTTTTTTTTTGGTATGAAATATGTTGGTGAAATATTTAGTCCTTAAGTTTTTCTATATTGAAGGCTTTTGCACTTTTGGGCATTGGTTTGAAATAAGATCTTGCATTAAATGTTTAATTCTGTCACATTTTTCTAAAAATGTAATTTATTTATTTTGTGAAATGAAAATTGTATTTTCATTCCTTTATTTTATTTTCTTCCTGTACACGGTCCATGAGAAACTAAACAGATCTGGGTGAACATCATTTTGTATCTGTGAGATTTTCTCTTATTTTCAATCTTGTTTTGTTCTCGTTATGTTTGTATTTTCCTCTTTACTGATATTGCCAGTGCAAGGTAGAATGATTATTATATATATAAATGTTCCACACCCCCCCTCCCTCCCATTCAACACAATTTGTTTTAGAAGCAGGTTGCTTCAGTCCTGCCTGTTGTTTAGGCCAACATGGGATACGTGGGTCACACAGCATCTCTGCAGACAGGCAGATGAACATACTCAAATATAACAAAATTTCCTCCTTGGGAAGTGAATTCATATTTTCTGGTGCTACAGAGAACACTTAACCATTACACCACGGATGCTGGTGGGAGAGGCAGAGGAATCGTCGGCCAGTCGTTTCGATGAACTGATCCCCAATTTTGGTTTAAGAAAAAAATGTTATTGCTGTTTCTTAACTGAACTCTTTATCCCCGATAGGGGTAAACCCGCTATGCCGCGGCCTTTTTTTGGTGCTAAATCTAAAAATGACAGAAACGTCATTAAATGGGTCATGAAATCGAACCTTGCAAACCTATTTTGATAGTTCTTCATCTAATGAATGAACTTCCGGTAAAAGAGACCTGTTTTCAGCAATTGCCAAA